TTTTTAAATTTATGATATTCTCGGTAGTCGATAACAATTAGAACAAATAACGTATTATAAAAAATAATTTTTTTTATTAAAATTTAAATATTCTAAATTAAATTTAAATTAATATTAACAAAAAAAAAATATTTATTAGTAAGTAAAAAAAATGAAATAAAAAATAAAAAAAATGTCATGATCGTCATCCCGATCATCTAATTCCATATCCTCCTTTTGTGGCTAAGTAGGAGGGACGGTGGAGTCCCGACTGGTGGGTGGATCTACAAGCAACTTAGATATCTACGCCGACCTATATAACATCGAAGCAAGCGATTCATACCGAGACTACGGCCGCTATACGATACTCTACTATTACATGATAATGTTATGTAGTTCGGTTTGTTTGGTCGCATCCCTTTCATCACTTCCTTATATTGCCTTTGAACCTCCTTCGGAATCTCGCCGGCATACTATGATGACATAGAGGACAAGCTAGCACCACTTGACTAGGACGGATAATGTGATGCTTATAAGCCTACATCATATAGCTTCTTCTTCTTCTTCTCTCCCCTATCGCCTCGAGGTATATGATATTCTTATCCACCTATGACTCTAGGATTCCTTCCGCTCGTCGCTTCTTCACGACTTTTTGTATAAGCTTGTTAACATGCTCTTGCATAATCAAAATAATTATAACGTTAAAAGATTAAATAATTTTTTATATTATATTTGCATATATAAAAACTAAAAATATTTACCATTGTATATTGAGTACGTAGATTGATGAAAGTGCCATTTTATTGCTTATGAGTGGCTCCAAACATGACTTCAAACTTGTTAGCTCACGCACCAATTTTGCCGCCTAGAAAAAATGAATCACAAACAATATGAGATGCAAATTAAAGTTTCTGAAATATTAAATAATATAAGATATGATTTACCAAGCAAGTGAGCATGCTCTTTCGAAGAAATGGACCCTTCGTATGCCTAAAAAGGCTTGCATTAGGGCCATCGATCTCCAACATCTAGTTACGCGATGCCTACTCCAACCAAGCCTTATGATCAAGTGTCCTAAAATCTTGATGCCACAAGTCATAACCCTCTTATCTAAGAAAATTAGGTCGTTCGGGCAAGTGAAACATGGTTATAGATGAAGTCACAAAACTTTAACAGAGTCTCCCCTAATTGAGTAAGTGACCTTTTTCTTTGATAAATATTTCTTTAATTATATAACAAACACATTCAAATCCTACTAAGCCTAAGCCTCCCTCTGAATTTTGGATCAAAAGAAAACAAGTCTTACATTACTCTTTTTCCTTTTGAAAAATTTCCTAAAAAGATAAAAATAAAACATGACTTGCACACATTCAATTTATGTGTATTTTTAGAAAACAAAATAATCACGTATAAGTCATGTGATTTGTCTTAGTAATTTGACTGGAAAATTTTACTTAAAATACAAAAATATAAGTAAATTATTTTAAAATATAAAAATTGATTAGACGTTAATTTTTTAGGAAACATGATTTTCACACATTCAATTTATGGGTATTTTTAGAAAAAATAATCACGTATAAGTCACGTGATTTGTTTTAGTAATTTGATTGAAATAATTTAATTACTTACAATATAAAAATATAATTAAATTATTTAAAAATAAAAAAAACTGATTAGACGTCAATTCCATTATATGAAATATTGATTGTCGTCCTTTTCTTTTTTGAAAAGAAAATACCATCCCACCTGTCGGGTTTGCATGTACCAAGCGGGATATATCACATGGCTATCACGCAGGTATAGGTAGATAATTAATAGATGGAACATTCAATTAAAAAAATGTATATATATATATATAACAAGGATAAAAATCAATAAAGGTGAATGTTAGAGATTATTTTCTTTGTTGACAGCAAACTCAAGGAATGCTTAAACTAATATACTAATTTTCATAATAAAAAAATACCAATATCCTTTTTATTTCCAATGAAAGGTGGGTTAAAAAATTTAATTAAAAACCTAAGGATCATTTTGACTGACATCACCTATTTTTTTTTATTTTCTTTTAACACTTAAGCTACAAGATACTTGAATTGGAATTTTTAAGTTAATTTTGATTAATTGATAGGTCAATTTTGAATAATTAATTATTTTTTTGTTAATTTGGGTTACTAATTGACTTAGACTTTGATAGTTTAGTTTATAACATATTTGAATAATTAATTAATTTTTCATTATTATGTATTTTAAATGTAGATTACTGGAGTTGTATTTAAATTTTGATGTTTTATTATGTATTATGGTTTTGCGCTTTCTAATTATTTAAAAACAAATATTTATTATTTTTCATATAGATTAATTTAGACAATTTGAATTGGAAAAAGGACTTTATGGTTCATAATATATTTTCTTTTTGTGCTATTTATATATTTTAAACAATTATTTTAAAATTGTTTGTTTGGAAAAAAAACTTAATACATATTCGGTTTGGGTTTAGTTATGTCTTTGGTGGGTTCTATTAACCGAAAAGCCAATCAAAATATTAAAAACCAAATGTTCATTCCATAATTGTGTTTAGGATGATATATTATGCTAATTAAGTGACCTATAAGTGAATGCGATGGTTTTTTTTTAAAAAAATACACTCATTTTTTTTGTTGTTTTTTAACCCCTTTTCTATTTGTTTTTTCATAATAAATAGTAAAATTAATGAAATGCCTATATGTAGTTGGAAAAATCAAAAAAATATTTGAAAAAAAACTATTATTACTACCACCATCCATTACGATCAAATGTTTCTTTTCTTGTAGCAATGAAATACAAACAAAACATCAAAGTAAATTTTTAAATACAAATTAACACCAAATTCAAGTGAAAATAAAAGGCTAATCAGCCTAAGTCTCCTCAATTAGTAACCCAAATTAACACCAATTAGTAACTAATTAACAATTAATTGACTAAATTTTAACCTAACAATTAATTAAAATTAATCTAGCAATTAATCAACCAGCTTTTCTAAATTACCCTAACAATTATATAAAATTTAATCTAACAATAAAAATTAACAAAATTAAACTAATAATTAACAAATTTAACCTAACAACTAACAAAAATAATGTTTTAATTAAAAAAAATTAATCTAATTAACAAAAAAAAAAAACAAAAACAAAAACAAAAGAGAGAGAACTAACCAAAAGAGAGAAAGGACAAGAGAGACCGTCACGGTAGTTTCAAAGAAGTTTTTAGAGAGAGAGGAGCGCCTCGTCGAAACGAGTGGTTTGGGGAGGGAGTGGAGGGGAGTTGGGTGGTGGTTGGGCTGAAGGAAGCGACCGTAGGAAAGGAAGAGAGAAGGAGGAGAGGAAAAGGGGGAAAATTAGGGGGAAAGAACGAAACCGGCATGTTTTAGGTATTTAGGATTAGCGATAGACGTGATTTCATTGTTAATCTAGCATCTAAATTTCTGAACTTTTTAGAAATTTGGAGAAATTAGCAATGAAATAAATAATGTAGCGATAGATTATATTTATCGCTGATCCAACAATGGTTTTTAGCGATGAAAATGGTATTTTGTCTCTAAATTTCCTCACTAATCTATAGTAATTCCGTTCCTCAAACTAGCATGGATTTTTGCAACGTGCTTTAGCGAATGAATTTTTTTCGTTGCTAAATTTCTATCACAAATCCATCACATGTCTATTGCAAATTGTTATATTTTTAATTTTATCACCATTCGGTTGTTATTCGATAGCTAATTAGTGACGAAATACAATTTGTCACTAATTTTTATTGCTAATTGCCTATTGCCTTATAGTGGATAAATAACCTATATCCGTATAACCAATTAATCATTTCTTTGATTTATTAGAATAATATAATCCCATATCAATCGTTCCTTAGAGATAACATAGTATATGTTTAATTCCATTTTAATGTCTTTGTATTGGAGTAAAACTATATCTTGCTAATAAATTTGCAAAAAATAATATATCGGGTTGGGTATTATTAGTAAGATATATTAATGCTCCAATTACACTAAAGTATCATACTTGAGGATCAAGAAGTTCTTCATTATCTTCTAAAGATCGAAAAGAATCCTTTTGGATGTAATAACTCAAAATTTCCTTATTTTTTATTTTTTTATTATTTATTATTTATTTTATTTTATTTATTTTATTATTTATTTATCTTATTTTTTTTTAATTTGAAGTTTACTAACAAAAAGAAAAAAAGAAAAAAAGAAAAAAGAAAAGAAAGAAAAATAAAGAAAATGATGAAAAACACAAAAAATTCATTTAGGGACACAATTGAAGTAATTAGGAGTGTAATCGGGTCAATTAAAAAAATTAAGTCTTAAATTGCATCTCCATGGACCTAATTGATGAGATTGTGCTAAAATTATACCATCGAAGGGCGTAATTGTGGAAATTGAAACGCGAGGACCAAACCGAAAGTTTGGAGCGAACGACGAGACCAAAATGGAGAAGACGACCTGTCGTGCACTCCAAGGCAAATTCTCTCCGAAAATATTTGGAGAAATCGCCAAATCCAAGATCAAATATACTATTTGATTATGCATTATTAGACGGAATTAATACCAACAAAAAATCAAGCAATTTTCTATTTTGATTTTGCATTAATCATAAATTAAAAGAGGAAACTTTTTGACGAAAGTTTCGGGATTTGAGATTCGATTCTCGGAGAAATTTTAGGAAATTTTGTGCTATAAAAAATTTTGAATTTCACGGAAAAAGGGGGATAAAAATTGGGAGAGGAATTCGGGTTGAGAGAGGGAGAAAATCGAAAGCAAAAAACCAAATTTTTGATCTTTTAGCGAGTTGGGTTTTCTAGGTTTTTTTGGGTTCTTGGGTTTGAGTGTTCTTCGTGTTCTTCATCTCGGGTTTGCAATTTTCATCTGTGTTATTCGTTCTTTGATTTTTTTGGGTTTGGGTGAATTACCACACGTTCTTTAACTTACTTTCCGGCTTTGAAGCCTCAATCACTCGCTCTTTTTTGGGTTTTTGTTAACCAATTTTCCCGGGTAGCTTTTGAGCCATTGCTCTTTCCGGGTTTCGAGTTTTAGAGTTCTTCAAGCCTTTAAACTCCAATTCTTCATTCCGCCATCCGCCCGAGCATCCCGAGTTCATCGAATACACCTCGGGACCTCCAAAAACACATCGAGCTTTCACTCCCTCGCCCTGGCGTACAATCCTTCACATAGGTAAATTTGGTCATTCCGCATTTTTTTTCTCTCTCAACTCGATCTCATTTAACTTTTTTTTCAACTCGATTATCAATTACACGTTTAGACTACAAATTTGGTCTTTTAAGGAGGTAAGAGCAAGAACATGGTATGTTTAATGAGGCTTCCAATTTCTTGATGAAAACCGAAAAAAATAGAGAGAGAATAAGAAGATTGGGAGATCTAGAGAGAGAGGAAGTCGGGATAGGGTTTGATCAAAATTTTGATTTTGTTTTAACCTTGGGCCTATTTATGGGTTTGAGCCTCGTTCGGGGCTAAGAATGGGACCGGACCGATTTCAGCCTAGTCCAGCTCGAGCAAAAAAAAAAAAAAAATAGAAAGATGGGTTGGGCTGATATCGACCAACCGTGCCCCCTTACCCCAAATAAAAAACGGGCCGGACTAGAATTCGACCTAGCCCACGTCCCTAAAAAAAAAAAAAAAGAGGGGGGAATAAAGAAAAAAAAATAGAATTAGAAAAAAATAGGTAAAAGGAAAAAAAATAAGAAGGAAAAAGGAAAAAGGGGGATGGGTACAAAAAAAAAAGTTGTGGGTTAATGGTTTAGGTATAAGATGATTTTTTTTCTCTTCTATTATTCATTTATTTTTTTTAGCTTGTTTATTTTTATTCCTTGTCATTTTTTTATATTAATTTAGAATTGCTATTTCAATTTTTTATTATTTTCTTTTCGTTAATATATATTGTTAGAAAAAAAAATCTTGACGAAGTTTTCTATCCGATAGGGACCGACGTCATAAATAAATGCTTAAAATTTTTGGTGAAGCCTCGTACATGGTAGGGACCGACATCATAAATATATATATATATATATATATATATATATATATATATATATAATAAATAAATTCGACGAAGTCTCCTATCTAATAGGGACCGACGTCACCAAATTCAAAATTTTCAATGAAGCCTCCTATTTGATAGGGTCGACGTCACCGAAAATCACCTTTTAATTAAGACATCCTCCGACATGCCGGTTGTGTCAAGGCTTTTAGTAGATCCGATGTTTGAATCGACATGTCGCCCAACGAAGGGGACCGACAATTGTTTCAATATGATGTCACGCCCAAAACTAAAAAAAATTCATTTAGTCTAAAAGAAAATAGGAGATTAAAATTTAGAAAAAATAGCTTGACATGGATTTTAGGAGATAATTTAGAACTAAACCGTACATGGTACCTTTTTTGAAGAGGGTGTTTTTAGGTGATTAAATATCTTCCTAAAAGCGTAACCAACTCCTTACTTTAGGAATCTCCGAACCAGTGCTACTTTTAGGCTCTTAGTTCCTTAAATACTAGGTGGCGACTCTAAAACTAAATAATTTTTGTAAATAACTAACGCTCGGACTTTAATTTTCTTTGGGGGGTCCCGTCCGACATCGTGTAGTGAATGGCGACTCCACTAGGGACTAGAGTTAGGCCATAGATTTAGTTTTTAATTTATCTCCTATGTTTATTTTTTGAATTTTTTTTACCTATTTATTTATGTATATATTTAAATTTTTTTCATTTATTTTTTTCTTTTCACCGCACGTTTATTTTTGAATTGGGTTGTATGACTTTCTTTTAACCGTTGCACACACCACGAAGGAAACCCCTAAAAGCTGCGGACCCAAGTCGAACCTTAATAGGAATTAGATAGAGTGATTTGCGAGTGAGTATGACAAAAGTCTACCGATGCTCTTTCAAACTCTCATTTAGATCGAAACTCACCCTATACATTGGAAATGATGGAATAACCTTCCCCTACCTTCTAACGTATAAGGTTAGAGGTTGGATTACCCCACCGGTAATTTAGGCGGTCTAGAGGCTCGAAAAATCGTTAGGACTAATCAAACTTTGCCTAACCATAGAAAAGCTAGATCCTATCTATTAGGGTTGACCTAATTAAGACACGAATTATTATCAAATGATGGTAATACTAACCCTTGGTTTTGTAGGTTATCCTTCATATTAAATCATGACAAAAGAAATTAGAAATGAGGTCAAGGATTTTAGGGTCGGATCCGAGTGGGTCCAAAATGACAAAGGAGATTGTCCGCCTTCGAATTTCATGTCGAAACTACCGAAAGGGTTAAATTGATCGACATGATGGCCAACACTCGGTCCGTTTCTCGGTTGTTGGGAGATGCTCACTTCCAAGGACCAACTTGATTTCCGGAAGACATATAGGGGACATAGCTTATCTCGCTCAAGATCAAAGCCCGGATTGCATGCTTTCAAGCCATGATAGACCATTGGGATCCAGATTACCATTGCATCACCTTTGGGAGTATAGACCTTCCACCTACACTTGAAGAATATGAGGCTCGCTAGCATTTCTCAAAATAGAGGTTATCTACTTCTACGAATCCATCGAAACACGCTCCATCAAACTTTGCATGGTTGATTGGAACTAATACCACTTTAGCCAAGAAGCAACTAACCTGAAGGCTAAATCGAAGGTTGGTTTTGGGACATCCTTCAAGCAAAATTCATGAAGCATCTACAAGATCCTAATAACCAAGTTAGACTCCGAATCTTGGCCTTAGCAATATATGGAATGGTGTTGTTACCATCGGTCGAGAGCATGATCGACGTAGAGGCGATCAACGTATTTAAAAGTGTGATATCTTTGAAGGTTAATCCCACAACAACAATCCTAGCAGAAACCTTCTCTTCATTAAACTTCTATTGAAGAAAAGGAGATGGGCATTTGAGGTGTTGTGTTCGGTTGTTGTTTGTGTAGACTATGAGCCACGTGGTGATTGGGGAAGCCTCGGTATTTTTCGCACCCCATGGCACTTGCATTCTAAGTTAGAGAATTTTGCTTATCATGCCCTTAACGAGTTGGGCAAGACAATGTGGGCTGAATTATTCTTCAATTTAGAGAAGTCGAATTTAATTGGAGAGCATGATATGCCTTCTTTTGGAGTTACATAGCCTTTTGTGGCAACTTTCCTTGGGTGCCACTAATTAGAACTCATTGCTACATTAGTTACTCGTCCAAACATGTTTTTAAGGCGAGTTGGGGTTTGAGCAATTCATTCCAAGGATGACTGGTTTAAATGAGTATTATGAGGATCCGAGGGTCTCTAAAAAGTTCTTAGAGGGAGCTAGGACCGCTTGGAGAAATAGAAGGATTGTCACTCCCGAAAAAAAAGAGTAGATGAAAGAATCTCACCTGGATATTCGAAATGGCAAAGCACTAGAGGGAAGGGATACCGTGTGCCACCATTCGAGGGCCATCTCGACCGATGAATGAGACAATGGAGGATGTTTATCAAGAAGTGAATGCCTAACATGAGATACTCAATGAAGACTCGAATGCTCGAGTGGTTGAACTAGCTCAAAAGAAGAGGAAGTTAAAGGAGATTTTGGATACTAAAAATCATACGATGAAGGCTTTAGAGGAAGAAAACAAGAAGCTTCATAGTCAACTCCAATTGACAAAAGGAGTTGTTAACAAGCTTAGAGATGAGAAGGATAACCTCAAGCAATTTAGAGACACGATATGAGCACGGATGGCTAACCAATCGGATGTAATACATCATTTGAGTACTCAAGTGGAGGAATTGAAAAGAAAAGATAGGGTCGACCAAAAACGATTGGCTAGATCTAGAGAGGAGCACGTCATGGCTATGCGAACAATGATAAAGGAAAGGGATGTCTTAAGAAAGAAAGATGCTGAGTGGGGAAGTAGGACCATGAAGTATCATTTACAAGCTCGAATGCTAAAGACTATGCTTTGGAAATACGAAACACTATAGAGCTCTTAGCTAACGACATTTGCCCGGAAGATGAAGTGGTTCAACTATTTTATGAGAAGCTCGAAGGCTTATAAATGGCATAATTTCCTATAAAGGCTTGGAGTCGTGGCCAAATTTAGAATAGGATTTCCTATGTAATAGGGCTTTTCTTTCATTGTAATAAATCATATTTAGAATGTGTTAAAGATTTGAATCGCAATAAAAATGTTGTTTTATTTCTATTTTACTTTTTATGGGTCAATGAGATGGTTTCATCATTCCAAGATCCAATCACGACCGAAATTTGGGTAATTCATATCTCCCTAGTCGCCTAAGTATCTATGAGGTAATGTTGCCCTCGCCGAGTACTAGCTTGATCCGATCCGTCTTCGATAAGATTCTCGTTATGATTTAATATGCAACAAATAAAAGAAAGGTATTTAACCCAATTCAAAAGCATGCATTTGCATCTAGTATTTATTTGTATATATTTTTGTGTTCGTTTCTCCAAGAATTAAACATAAGCCGCTCTACTCAATCCCCTCTCGCGCATCTACAACACTTGACTTCGAGCTCGTCAAATGGAGAACGAAGAAATACCACAATAAGAGCTAATTAGCCAGCAAGAGTTTGACTCGCCGAAAGAAAGTATGGCTCGAATGACAACCTTATTAAAGCAAGCATTAAGAGGGGGAGGTAGCTTGAATCAAGGACAACTCGAAGTACAACATGCTCGTTCCGTCACCTCATCGGCCGAGGCCTTCCAATCATGCTCGAAGGTTCATACCCTACTAGGATATTTTCTTATCCCATGGACCCACGAGTCCTACAAATGCCTCCGACGGATCCCGTAGAAGAGGAAACTCATGGTCCTAGGGCGGTTGAAGGCCCAAATATGGACGGACTCATGGCACTAGAAGAACGCCTAAGAGCGATAGAGGGGAGGACACCTACAATCCGATTAGGGCCTCCAAAATGTATTTGGTGCCCGATGTAATGATTCCAAAGAAGTTCAAGGTGCTAGATTTTCCCAAATACACAGGAACCCGAGTGTCCCATGACTCACTTGAGAGTTTATTGTAGCAAGATAGCGAAGTGGTCCATGATGAAAAGCTCGCTAATCTATTTCTTTCATGAGAGCTCGGGAGGTTCAGCTTTGAGTCGGTACATGAGGTTAGAGGGGTCGAAGATAGAAGGATTTAACCGATGCTTTTCTTAAGCGA